GCTTTAAACTACTTATTTACATAAATAAAAACATTCGTTGAACATTCCATTTATTTGTATTTTTATTTCTATGTGTACCAGCAGACTCCTCCTTTTTAAATTTAAATTTCAAACCCAACTGCTTGACAGTAAGACCATGTTACATGCATTGCGGGTGAACTTTGAAAACTTCGGTCACACTACAAAGAATAAGATTTTTCGACTAGTGAAACTCTTAGCCGATCTGAGTACTAGGCTTTAAGAACAATTGTATAAATTATTTTGAGCACTTGATTCAATAGAATAGTTTTTCCTCTAAATGTCAAGACCAACTTTGCAAAAATCGGTGGCAAATCGAAAGCTTTATGGTTGGTTGAATAAAAGGATTGCTATGATGCTGACGACAATTATTTCTCATTAATTGAGTTGTTCCAAGACTAAAATCTGCAAGCACTCGATTAATAAATTTGGTTACGCATGCGGAAGTTACATATATATGTTAACAACTGTTGCTTACGTTAGTTGTCATTCATTGGCGTATGGTGCATGTACTCTGTGGGAATCATAGTCAACTCTCCTGTGTGATTGAATTTATGAAACGGTGTTTATCCACACACGAATTTGCTCATTTCATGAAATGATTTTATGAAGTAGGCATAGCATAAACACAGTAATAGTGGAGTGCCTCGACTGCTGAATACATTTTACTTACCTAATACCCCCTTCCCATAGAGTACATCCGTTCGAAACGGTTGGGATTTTTGACAATTGTGAAACTCCGATTCCCCCAAAACATATTTACCATCTACCATCCGATAACAGCTGATCTGGCTAATCGAACAAATCCTGATACTTCTTGAATGGAAGGCGCAGAAGTATCAGGATTTGTTCCATTAGCCAGATCAGCTGTTATCGGATGGTAGATGGTATATATGCTTTGGGGGAATCGGAGTTTCACATTTCAGAGAACCATCCACCATCTACCATCCATTGAACGGATGGTCCATAAGGTTTTGCCGTTCCGAAAATTTCCCAGTTAGTTCCCTATCCTTCCCATAGAGTACATCCGGTCGAAACGGTTGGGGTTTTTGACAAATGTGAAACTCCGATTCCCACAAAACATATTTACCATCTACCATCCGATAACAGCTGATCTGGCTAATGGAACAAATCCTGATACTTCTGCGCCTTCCATTCAAGAAGTATCAGGATTTGTTCGATTAGCCAGATCAGCTGTTATCGGATGGTAGATGGTAAATATGCTTTGGGGGAATTTGTCAAAAATCCCAACCGTTTCGAACGGATGTACCCTATGGGAAGGATAGGGAACTAACTGGGAAATTTTCGGAACGGCAAAACCTTATGGATGGTGGATGGTTCTCTGAAGAAAGACGATATTAAGGGAGTACAAGGGATATGGCGATATGCAAGAGGCGGCTTGTGTGCGTGGCCAAGTGAAATCTCAACCCTCTAGCTTTTACAGTTCTTAAGATCACAGCATTCACGCGGACAGATGGACATGCAGATTCCAGAGATTCGCAGTACACAGTACCTCGCCCACAACCACCTAAAACTGTGGCCCCTCCGGTTGTAAATCCCCTTGCGCTCCCTTGAGCTGATTAACGGGTATCTAAAACCGCTCAACTTTAGCGTAGTTCTTATTTTCTTTAAACAGTGAAGAGTATCGATTTGCGTTGGGGAATTCTTATAAAATTCTTAAATAAATATCGTATCGATTAAACTAGCTGTTTAAAAGATAAAATTTAGATTTTTGAATGTATCGTCAAAAAATCTCGATATATTCACTTTGTTTTTAAAATCTTTTATTGTCAAGCAAATTGTTTATAAAAGTTTCCTGCTGCTATAAATTTGTGTCCTTTATAAATCTAAGGATGCAGAAGTGGTGATACTACATAAAATTTTGTTGTTAAAAAAACGCGTTGCTAATTAAAAAACAGTATGAAATTAAATTTTTTTTTATAGTGTAAGCGTTATTTTAACCAAGAACTGAAAATAAAAATAATTTTTTATTTAAGAACGTCAGTATTATCACTAACTCTTATCCACAAAGTACATTGAAATCATCTAAGTCTCACATAACTCTTATTTACCATTTTAAAAATAAAAAAAAAACAAGAGAGCGTTATAGCCTATGGCGTCGACAAATAAATTCCCGTTACGTTTCAAGAAAATGCGTTCAGTGATATGCTAGTCTGTCTTCCGACTGTGAGAGTCACAAACAACCCTTCAGTTCCAAAAAAAAAGTTTCACTTGTGAATCACCTTGGGAATCACCTGGGACATGTCCTCGTGCACAAGTGAAGAACAAGTGACGCTCCATATAGAAAATTGTATGGAATGTCCGCATTTTCACAAGTGAAAATTCAAATGAAAATTTTTCGAAGTCCTACGGGATTTCACTTGTTCCTTATACTCATTTTTCGTATGGCCTGTCACGTGCCGGTGACACGTCCCAAGTGAATCACTTGGGAAAATCAGAATTTTACCTTGAGTTTTCACTTGTGAAATCACTTGCAAGGGACACGTCCCAAGTGAATCACTTGGGAAAATCAGAATTTTTCCTTGAGTTTTCAATTATAAAAATATAGAATTTAAAATACATACATATTTAATTTCATTTTAATTATATGGTATTATTTAGATTTTCAAAAATTGTAGAATTATTGCTTCTGTTTTTTTGCTTCGTAAGCTTATTTTAAACGTTAGTCATCGCCGTTCTTAAACCTTTGTCCGGGTCCTCTGAATCCGTGGCCAACGCTCCTGAAAAAACATATGTTTAAAAAATGCGTTTTATTTGTTTAATTGTTTATTAACCTTTTATAGCTGTGTTTAACCCTTTGCAGGATTTTTATTGGATCAAAACATTTCGTCATCCACTTTCGGCTAACGGAACCCATTGAATACCTTCAAAATTTACGTACTTTAAACTAAGATCAATGCACAACATCTAAAACTTAACGTAGCACTTACCTGACTTTATTATATTAACTTAAAGAGACGACTAAAGTAACTCTGCTGCGCAGAATTAACATGGTGCTTCCCTTTCAATCACTCAAACAGAATGCACCAAGTCTTCTCACCCCTTTACTTGATTTCTTTTGTTTTCTCTTCGCTGTTGGCGATATCCGACTATATAATTTGTACTTCTTAAGTAAGAAATACAATACGAATTTTTTAAAAATGTTAATACTAATACTACTAATGTTTTAAATATTGAAATCAATTTTAACGGACTAATTTTCTATAATTACACTAAAAAAATATATTGTAATAAAAATGTATAATAAGTAAGCATAACATTAAAAGTAAATCCAAATTACTTAATTTTACTATAATCAAATAATTTACTTTTATAAAACAATACAAGTTGTATATTTTCGATACACAATAATGCTCCTAAAATATTAGGGCATTCACATGTCGCTGCTCCACGAAAATTTTTCCGCCGAAATATTAGTCGCTAGCCGAACATAACGGAGAGACGCAAAAAAAAATAACGGACCGGCCGAAATTTGTCTCTGCGAGCACGGAGTGCAGGCAGATTATAAAACAAGAAAGAGAGGGAAATATCCGAGTATCTGCCTCTCTTTGTTGCACGATCGTTTTCGTGGGCAGTCTTCTACGCTGCGCCGACTGCTCTGCTGACGTCAACAGCGGCACAGCGTTTTAGGCACAAAAAAAACAAAATAAGCTTTTTGCCTTGAGCCATGTCACCGCGTCCCTACTGCAGAACTGAAGGGTACATTTTAAACAATTTTGGGAGGTCGATGCGCCTTCAAATGACCATTTCCTTACTTAAATAATGTACATTTTTGCCCAAAAAGGTGCCAGGTCATCCAAAAAAAAAAACAAGCGGGAGGTTGGTAATTTCTTTAAAAGAGAGCATAGCAATTTTTTTATTCAATGTGAGAACCTGGATCCGGCACCAACAACAATTTCCTTATAACGGATTCATGGCATTTCAAATGCATTTCCTTCCCAATAAAATCCCGAAACGTCAAGTACAACAAGGAAGAACGCTATAGTCGAGTACCTCGACTATCAGATACCCGTTACTCAAAGGGAAATGGAGATATGCAAGCAGCAAAGCGAGATTAAAATGCGCCACCTACCGGCGGTAGACAGATTTAAGCGTTATGGGCGTTACAGTGGGCGTGGCAAATTCATTTTTGGATCAATCGATAGGTATTGACGACACCAATACATTTCAGTTAAAATTTTTTATCTAGCATGCAAATTGTGGGCGTCACAGGTTTTCGCGGTTTGTGGGCGTTTAAGTGGGCGTGGCAAACTTTTTTTTAGGTCAATCGATAGGTATTGATGGGAATAATACATTTCAGTTAAAAGTTTCTATCTAGCATCAAAACTGTAGGAGTTACAGTTTTGGGCGGTTTGTGGGCGTTAGAGTGGGCGTGGCAGTCTACTGAAACAAACTTGCGCTGCGTAAGAAGCTCAGGAATCAGTACGCCAAATCTCAATAGCCTAGCTCTCATAGTTTCCGAGATCTCAGCGTTCATCCGGACAGACAGACGGACAGACTGACATGGCTAGATCGACTCGGCTAGTGATCCTGATCAAGAATATATATACTTTATGGGGTCGGAAACGCTTTCTTCTGCCTGTTACATACTTTCCGACGAATCTAGTATACCCTTTTACTCTACGAGTAACGGGTATAAAAATAACTAAGCTCGTAAACAATTTTGGATAAAAACACTAAACCACTGAATCGATTTGCGTGTGCGGTATAATTTTCCGGTGAAGCTGGTTTTTCCCGTTGTTTTCTGGTACGATATTTTTTGTATGAAAAAAGTTGCTGAAGCAGAATTTTGTGAATATATATATATATACTAGTGGCAAAATATAATATATTTCAAAAATAATCTAAAAAAAATATAATTATACAAAATTTGCAGTTCAGAAAATATCGCGGTAATATATTTTTAGAGGAAAAATATCGATATTTTGTTGCTGTGATATATTTTCGATATCACGTCCAGACAGTCATGTCAGTTGATGTAAATTAGAGTTTGAGTACACAAATCAGCTTAATTAAAAAGGAGAAATTTAAATGTCAAGCACTGTTTAAGATTCCTGCCTCTTTGTAACACATAAGTTGTCAAGCACGCTTTGGAGAGCGCAAGCATCACAAACTATCATCAAAAGGTAGCTTATATATATGTGAGTAAAAACTGAATGTGGGCAAAGTTAAGTTAACCCCAGGGTCCGTCTCCAGTTTTTATTCGTATCCTGTTTTATGTAGACAGAAAGAGTTCCGCCTCAGTGTAGCTGCAAATGGTTAAATGAAATAAACTTCTGTGCTGGCTTAACGGAGTGTTTACATTCATACATATATTGTTTTGCGTAAAAGGTGATGCCGAAAAAATGAAAATCCCAACAAAATCAACTCAAAATAACTAATTTTAACAATTAGGTTTTGATAAAATCCTCTCTGCAATCTAGTAGGAGAAGTCTGTTTTTTTTCCTTTCCTATAAGCCAATGCATAAATAATACATAATTTTTGTTGATAGAAGGACTGATATACAGTGGCTCACAGCTGGGTTAGCCCTCACTTTTCGAACAACAAGACTCTCATCTGCCAAAGAAAACATTTTGTTTGGGACAGTTTTGGGACTTTTATATGTAAAGTGATATATCACTAATTCCGGTTACTGGACTGTTGTTAACTTTCCGTAATATTCACACATAATGTGTTCATTTTGTTGATAATGTAGTTATACTAGGAGTAAATTTGATACAAAATTGTTGACTACCTAAGCAGCAAACTAAAAACTTTATATCCGCCTTGAGGCCGCTTTGGGAAAGTAGGCAAAAAAAATGTTCAGTTTAAAAATGATTATTATAAAGCAAATAAAGAAAGGCTCATAAAACAAAAGAAATAACAATTAAAATTTACGTAACTTAACTTCAAAGTTTAGTTCTCTTATTTGTGATACAATTCGTAGAAATAGTCATTTTCCTGGGAATGGCACAGGTTTGTGTTGCATTTACGGCTTACAATTTCTGTTTCGGAAGTGCAACCAGGAAGCTTACAGGTTTTTTTTTTGCCAGCGCGTGATAAAAAGATCGGAAAATGCTCAACGCCATCATAATGTACATCATTAGACGGTACAAAAGTTTTCTTACCTATGCAGCTCCTTGCATTTTCAACTTGTCTTGGGCTCCCTAGTCCTTTTTGCACGTATGCGACTTCTCATCGGAAGTTTTCAGAGCGAACAAAACGTGTAAACTGACCTTATAAATTCTAAATAGATAATGTGGTTTTAAAATCCGGAACATTGCTTGATAGTCGAAAAACTACATTTGCTTCCGCACCAAGATCTGGTGAGCGGGTTTGAACAACGTTGTCCTCTGCGCCGAAATATATCTTAAAACTATAGCAAAATCCAGAGTAGTCACACAACTTGAAAAATGTCACTTCCCATTTGTGTGGTATGTCTGGTAAATATTGTCGAAGAAAGGTCTGACGAACTGATTGAAACTGGCGCCACAGCATCTTTTTGAAAACTGTCTTTAGGATCTATAGCCCTAACAGATCCTATGTACATGTTCGGCATTTGTACTTTCTTCAGCATAACCTGTGTCATAGTCAGCAGGCGCTTTGCGTTTGAATAGTTTAGGTGAATTCGATGCAATCAGGTTTGCCAACGGAATAGGAGTATATCTGACATATTGATCGCTTTTTCAATCGCCACTTAATTTTCCTGATCAACTGCAAATGCTGATTCGTTCAACAATTCTTCTCCGTACGTATCAATTTCAAAATCAATTTTATTTAAATATGTCTCAATCTCCACATTGGAAAGACAAGTCGTAGTTCCATGTCTGCTGAAGAAATTATTTAAACTTAAATATGCCTTGAGTTGATTCACTTTCAAACTTACCTTATGATGAAACCTTAATAAAAACAAAGCAAGTTTGAAAAAAAAGGCATTACCACGATTATAAACCAAAAAAAATCTGATAGAGAGTCGTCCAAAGTTTCAAAACCCCTAAGCTAAATGGTATAATGGGGACCTTTCAAGCCCCAGAACTAAAAAACATCGAACATTTTTGCAGAAATGTTAAAAAACTTTGTTTTTAATGCAAAACCGAAGAAAAAACTGCCCTTGAGCTATTTTGAAAGAACCACACAACAATTTTGTCAAGGAATGATTCTGGTGTCTAGTGACGTTAAGGTCGGTCGTTGTTGTTGCAGCTCAAGCTTTAGAACAATATTTTATTACCTTACATTACAATCAAACAAAAATTCCAAATCGCGGTATTTTTAAGTTTTTTAAGCCTTTTCTTTAAGTAGTGCTATTTTTGTTGCCGCATAACTTTGCTACTTTTTTGATAAATGTATAGAAATTTTAAAAACCATCCGCATTGTGGGCGTAACAAATTTTATTTTAGTTAATAGATATGTAACCCTACTTACCCTTAGAAAAAGAATAAAAATATTGCAAAAAATGACCCTTCTGTAGCACAAAAAAGAATTGCCTACACATTGGTGCTATTTTTGTTGCCGGAGCTGTATATACACTGCTGGTCTTGGGTTAGACGCACTCAGTTTTCCACACAAATTAGTTTTATATTTATTATTGTAATATATATATATATATATATGTATATATAAAAGGTCATAAACCTACCACAACTTTTGAAAAATAGTTTCAACTTGAAGTTCCCTGCGATTAAAACATGCCCAAAATTCATGGAAAATGTAATATAATTTTTAATGATTTTTTCAATTTTTTTTTGTCGATAGGCTTTAAATTTAATTTGTATCCTAGGCGGCGACATGTTAACTAAAATAAGTGGTGTTGACAGTTGTTTCGAAAATAGCCAAATCACATTTATGTATAGTATTAAAGGTTAGGTTAGATTGGAACGACTGTCAGACCTTAGTATCACACACTTTGACCACTTTTGTAAAACCGTATAATACGTTTGAATACGTTGGTTAACATTCTTCCACCTAGAGGATTTTATGAAAGTATTTAGATTTTTAATTTAGCCAGTTCGTATAGATCGTTGATAAAGGGGAACCTAAGTGTTTCGTTAATAGGGCTGGACAGGAGCAGAGAAAGTTTTCTATAATTTCTTCTTCCTCTTCATCCCTGCAGCTTCAGCAGAAATAATTTTTTTTGCGGAATTCAGCCTGCCAGCATGTGTGCCGACCAGCCACGCTGGCCTGTTATAATTCCAATTAGCATCACGGACTCCGTGCGGTTGAAATTGAGCAGTTCAGCTGCTCAGCGCGGGCCATGTCTGGTAAAAATACGAAAGCGTGGTGCCCTTTGCCAGCGAATGTTGGCTATACTTTTGTTCTGATTTTTTTATATTTAGCATGCATGTTGCCATATGCATGCCGACATTTTCCTTTTCTTTAAGGAGAGGAATGACATATACTGTATACTAGATTCGTCGGAAAGTATGTAACAGGCAGAAGGAAGCGTTTCCGACCCCATAAAGAATATATGTTCTTGATCATGATCACTAGCCGAGTCGATCTAGCCATGTCCGTCTGTCCGTTTGAACTCTAAGATATCGGAAGCTACAGTACTGGAATTAGGCATGCAGATTCCTGAGATTCCTGCGCAGCGCAAGTTTGTTCAGTAATGTGCCACGCCCACTCTAACGCCCACAAACCGCCCAAAGCTGTGGCTCCTACAGTTTTGATGCTAGAAAATTTTAACTTGAACATATTGTTCTCATCAATACCTATTGATTGACCTAAAAAAAAGTTTTCCACGCTCACTGTAACGTTAACAAACCGCCCCCAAACTTCAAAAAATCGTAGGTATGAACGCGGATATCTCGGAAACTATGAAAGATAGAGAAATGTGATCTCAGATTTAGATTCCGTAGCCAAGTTTGTTACGCGAATATGCCACGCCCACTTTAACGCCCACAAACTGCCCAAACCTGTGGCACCCACAATATTCATGATAGATACAAAATTTTAACTGAAATATATTGGTCTCGTCAATACCTATCGATTGCTCAAAAAAAGTTTGCCACGCCCACTCTAACGCACATAACGCTTAAATCTGTCTACCACCCACATAACCATATATTGAGATCACGGGTAGGTGGCTCATTTTAATCTCGCTTTGCTGCTTGCATTTATCCATTTCCCCTTGGTACCATTAGCTGAATAACGGGTATCTGATAGTCGGAGTACTCGACTATAGCGTTCTTCCTGGTTTTTATTCCGTTTTTATACCCGTTACTCGTAGAGTAAAAGGGTATACTAGATTCGTCGGAAAGTATGTAACAGGCAGAAGGAAGCGTTTCCGACCCCATAAAGTATATATATTCTTGATCAGGATCACTAGCCGAGTCGATCTAGCCATGTCCGTCTGTCCGTCTGTCCGTCTGTCTGTCCGGATGAACGCTGAGAACTCGGAAACTATGGGAGCTAGGCTATTGAGATTTGGCGTGCAGATTCCTGAGCTTCTTACGCAGCGCAACTTTGTTTCAGTACAGTGCCACGCCCACTCTAACGCCCAAAATCCGCCCAAAACTGTGGCTCCTACAGTATTGATGCTAGAATAAAAATTTTAACTGAAATGTAATGTTCTTATCAATACCTATCGATTGACCCAAAAAAAAGTTTGCCACGCCCACCCTAACGCCCATAAACCGCCCACAAACTTCAAAAAATCGTAAATATGAACGTGGATATCTCGGAAACTATCAAAGATAGAGAATTGGGATTTCAGATTTAGATTCCGTAGCCTTATACGCAGCGCAAGTTTGTCACGCGAATATGCCACGCCCACTCTAACGCCCACAAACCGCGAAAACCTGTGATGCCCACAATTTTTATGCTGAATAAAAAATTTTAACTGAAATGTATTGGTTTCGTCAATACCTATCGATTGGTCCAAAAAAAAATTTGCCACGCCCACTCTAACGCCCAAAACGCTTAAATCTGTATACCGCCGGTAGGTGGCGCATTTTAATCTCGCTTTGCTACTTGCATATCTCTATTTAGCTGAGTAACGGGTATCTGATAGTCGAGGTACTCGACTATAGCGTTCTTCCTTGTTCTATTTCATTTTTGGCGAAGTGTCGAAAAATTTACGGAAAAAACTCGCGCTTCCTCCTTTAAACGAGTTTTGTTCATCTGAAACACATTGTCGAGGATATGCTC